TCCCTTTGTACTCCTCTCTTGGCCTCCTGCAGTTCTGTGGTGGGTTATACATCACTCCAATGACTACTTTATGTTCTCCGGATTGAATTGTACCTACAATGTAGTCTCTTTCTCCAATCATGTCCATGCCTTCCATTTCCTCAAATCCCCATCGGGGTTTTATGAGCAGTGCAACCCCCTCCCCCCTCTACTCCTTCTATCTTTCCTCAGGATCTGATATCCCGTTGGGAAGATTGTGTCTGTTATTGTCTCAGCGAGTTTTGTTTCTGTAACTGCTATGGTGTCTGGGGATTTCTCACTGATTCTTTCTTTCCCACTCCTCATTTTTATTCGTTTTTCCCAACCCGCGTTTGTGTCCCAAAAACTTTCAGTTTTTTTTCTATCATTTGGTATGAAAGAATATTTGTATGGGATGTGTCTGTTGGGAGTGTGTGGTATGTTTGTAGGGGAGTGTGTGGTATGTGTGTTGGGAGGGGTCTGATTTTAAGTGTGTGTGTATGTGTGTAGGGGAGTGTGTCTGTATTTTGGGCTAAGTTAGGGGAGTGTGTCGTATGTAAGTGTGTGCGTATGTGTGTAGGGGGTGTGTGTGTTTGGAGTGTGTGCATGTGTGTGCTACGATTGGTGAAAAGCGAGTGTATGTGAGTGTGCTTATGGTGTGTATGTGAATGAGTGTTTTGTGTGTGTGTGTGGTGTGTGTGTGTGTGTGTGTGTGTGTGTGTGTGTGTGTGTGTGTTGTGTGGTGTGTGTGTTTTTGTTTGTCTTTGTGTGTGTGTTGTGTCTGCTAGTGTGTATGCATGTGTGATACAGTGTGTAGCTGGTGTGTTATGCGAGTGGTGTATGCGGGGTTTGGGGTATGCGGTGTGTGTATGCGTGGTGGTGTTGCTGGGTCTAACTTCATTGTATGGGTGTGTTAGCACACAGGGGTACTGGTGCGGCCTAATGCGCGAGCGGTTTCTTGGGCCATTTGTTGTGTTTGCGTGTAAGCATGCACGGTTTGTGTGTGTTTGTGTTGTGTGTGTGTTTTATCACCTAATTGTACTCCCCTAATTGGGGTTCGGGGGTGAGATCGCTCCGGGGCCCCGCCTCTTCACTGAGCGCTACAGGTCCTCTCTCTCCCTGCTCCATACTTCTATCTGTCGTCTGTTGTCTCTCTGTCTGTCTGTCTTTCTGTGTGTGTTACCTTTTTGGGTTCAGGAGTCGGGTCTCAGATGGTTTACCCTTTGCCATTAGCAAGGTTTACTGTCACTCAGTGGTGGCCCCTTTTCATTTTAAACCCGGGGTATCTAAGACAGCCATGAAACCCCCTCCTTAACTATTCACTCAGAAAAAATAAAACAATTATAACTAAACGCAAAACCCCAAGGGGCATAAAAATATATCGCCTAGAGATGCCACTTCCCCATATCTCCCAAGTGAAGAAAGCTTCCGACATCCCCGGGACTCCTCCTATGTGCCCTGGTGGACCCGTTTTTTCGCCTCTCGAACTTATTCCGTTCCCCCTGGCGGGCCCTCTGGGAATTTGTATTTTTTTCATTATTCCTCTCTCGGTTGTTCTATTTGTGTAATCTTTTTAGTTTCTTTAGCCGCTCCTCATGCTATGTCCCACAACGCCAAGAAAACCCTGGGGCAAAACACAGATTTTCTCCGTTTCCTAAATTTGTATAAGTGGGGTTCCCGCTGGTGCTGAATGCTCCAAGACGGCCTGAAGCATTTAAAAAGGACCACGGACAACTCAGTATTGAGATTTCTAAAAGATAGTCTTATAATTACCAAACAAGCATTCACTGAAGAGAATAAATTAGACACATGTTTCATCACTTGGGTATCATTAAAGACACCCAAGTGTTGCACATGTGTCATATTTATCAACTTGTCGGTTCTCTGAACTGTTCATATACATTCATTCACTGAAGATGTTATTCAGTTGATGTATGACTGGTGATATGTCATTCCTAATCCTTTGCTGGTTATTATTTATTTTAATGCTTCTCTTCAAATGCTCCACCACTCCCGATTATCTTCTCCATACCTTACATACTCATGTCAGTGACAATGGTCTGCAGTACAGTGCTTCCAGTCTATCTCCTCTCTTAAATATTGGGATTGCATTCACTGTCTTCCAGACTTCGGGCGACTGTCTTATGTCTGTTGACTTCTTTGTAGATTATTGCAGGAGATTCAGATAATGCTTCTGCTCCCTCACTCAAAACTCTTAGTGATACTGAACTGGATATATAAAAATGAACATGTCGGATCTCTTTGCCATTAGTGTATCCAGCTCACTCAAAAGTTTTTTCCACCTCTTTCCCTGCTTTAGGTATAGTGTTCAGTACCCACGGGTGTTCACTTTGTCTTTCATTCTCTGGTGTTGCCCATATTTCCACTGAGAATACCTCTATAAATCGTATGTTTCATGCCTCACAGACCTCCTTGTCGTTTCTAGTAAGCTCTCCTCCTTTCTTCTTCAGTCTTATTACCTGGTCAATTACTGTCGGCTGTCTTATGATGTGACGTAGAAGTTTCGGTATAGACATTGCTTTTGCTGCTAAGTCAGTCTCAGATTCTTGCCCCATTCATCTTATCTTTGCATATTCGGTCTGGCTCTTCTGCTTGCCACTGTTCTGCTTTGATTTTTGTTGTCATTAGTTTTTCCATGCTCCTACTCTGCTTATTTCCTTATTGCATCTTTGGTTGAACCACGGTGTCTTTTCTTTACACTGACTCTTCTCCTGGGTATACATTTCTATCCGGTACTTTCCAGCTAGGTACTCCATTTCATTAGTTCACTTCCCTTCCAGTTCCGTTTCTCACTGTACTGCAGTTAGGAATTTTCTCAACGATTCAGAACTTTCTCTTCTGAAATCTTATTTCCGCCGTCCCCCAACATACCATTCTTTCCTCAAAATTTACTTCCACAAGGTATTCGACGTTCAGTTTAGTATGTTGATGGTACTATAAGCTGAAGAGTAAAACGTAATGGACAGCGAGGAAGAGAGAGAGGAGAGAGAGAGAGGAGGAGAGGGAGAGAGAGAGAGAGGGAGGAGGGGGAGAGGAGAGAGAGAGAGAGAGGGGGAGAGAGAGAGGGGAGGGAGAGAGAGAGAGGGCAGAGAGAGGAGACAGAGAGAGAGAGACAGAGAGAGAGACAGAGGAGGAGACTGAAGAGAGAGACAGAGAGGAGAGAGAGGAGAAGAAGAGAGAGAGAGAGAGAGAAAAGGAGAAGAGTGGAGGGGGAGAAGAAGAA